AAAATCTGGACTCAATTGCGGTTATAAGTCAAGGACTACCTGTACGTTCTCTATGTAGAAAGGTTCAAAAATTCCCAGGTTTTTAATGTAGAAATGGTTCTCCCTCCCCTGCTAGAATCTAGGTCAGGGGTCGGTAACCTTGGCTCTTTTATGACTCATGGACTTCAACTCCCAGAATTCCTGAGCCAACATGGGTCAGCTTGGAAACTCTCCCTTTCCCCTCAGCATGGCTGGCTCAGGAATTCTGAGAGTTGAAGTCCACGAGTCATAAAAGAGCCAAGATTACCTACCTCTGGCCTAGGCCTAGGCTGCTTTATGACTCATGGACTGCAACTCCCAGAATTCCTGAGCCAGCATGGCTCAGCTTGGAAACCTCTCCCTTTCCCCTCAGCATGGCTGGCTCAGGAATTCTGGGAGTTGAAGACCACCAGTCATAATAGAGCCAAGATTGCCTGCTCCTGATCTAGGTTCGTGGAAAATGCTGGCAGGTTTAAGGCAGGGAAAATCCGATGTACACTTAAAGATAAGCAAGCCTTAATTTATACGGTAGATCTACATGACCTACCACAGGTGTCCTCAACATGGCCACTTTAAGACTGGTGGACTTCAACTTCCAGAATTCTCCAGCCAGCATGGCTGGCTGTGGAATTCTGGGAGTTGAAGTCCACCAGTCTTAAAGTGGCCAAGTTTGAGGACCCCTGACCTACCACTACTATTAATAGAAGGCCTAATTCGATCTCTGTTGTTGGTCGCTAACTTGTGGACAAATACGACTGGGCCAGTTGTTTGGATGGGGGCCTGATCTATTTTGCCTGGAAGATAATTCTCATGCAGCCAAGCCAGGATTAGCATTATCTAAGCATTTCCATCTCACCGCAGAGCTGAACAGCTGCGAAGTCGAAAGACTGCCAGAGAGTTCCCAGCATATATAGACCATATTTCTGTTTAAATCGTTCCATCTTTCTCCCAGTTCTTGCCAATTCAGAAGGCCGTTTACAAAGTGCTTAATGTGGTATGTTGGGGCGAAATGACCTCTCTTGATTTCTCTGCAGCAGGTTGACAGTTTAAAATCTCCGTTGGTGAAGAGCGAACCAGCAGCGGCCCCATGTGGCACCACAATGCATTTTCCCAAGTGCACATGGCCCACGGTGGAAGCTGTGGTTTGACAGCCTCAGTCAGTTTTAGGGATAGAATAGACTAGAATAGAAGGAAAGAATGAATAGAATAGAATAGGATATAGGGATAGAATAGAATAGAATAGAATAGAATAGAATAGAATAGAATAGAATAGAATAGAATAGAGAATAAGAAATGATTAGAATAGGAAATAATGAATAAAGAATAGAATAAAGTAGAGTAGAGTAGAGTAGAGTAGAGTAGAGTAGAATAGAATAGAATAGAATAGAATAGAATAGAATATAGGGATTGAATACAATAGAATATAGGAATAGAATAGAATAGAATAGAATAGAATAGAATAGAATAGAATAGAATAGAGAATAAGAAATGATTAGAATAGGAAATAATGAATAAAGAATAGAATAAAGTAGAGTAGAGTAGAGTAGAGTAGAGTAGAATAGAATAGAATAGAATAGAATAGAATAGAATAGAATAGAATATAGGGATTGAATACAATAGAATATAGGAATAGAATAGAATAGAATAGAATAGAATAGAATAGAATAGAATAGAATAGAATAGAATAGAATAGAATAGAATCTGGAAGGGACCTTGGAGGTCTTCTAGTCCAGCACCCTGCTCAAGCAGGAGAACCTATACTATTTCAGACAAGTGACTGTCCAGTCTCTTCTTAAAAATCTTCAGTAATGGAGCGCTCATGATTTCTGGTGGCAAGCTGTTCCACTGGTTAATTGTCCTCACTGAGAAGTTTCTCCTTAATTCCAGGTTGCTTCTCTCCTTGATTAGTTTCCAGCCATTGTTTCTTGTCCTGCCTTTAGATGCTTTGGAGAATAATTTGACCTCCTCTTCTTCGTGGCAGCCCCTCAAATACTGGAATATTGCTGTCATGTCAAACCTAGGTCCCGCAGCCGGTTTTCATGTTTTAGTTTCCAGACCTTTGATCATTTTAGTTGCTCTTCTCTGAACTTTTTCTAAAGTCTCAACATCTTTTTAGTAGTATGGTGACCAAAATTGCTTGCAGTATTCCAGGTGTGTTCTTACTAGGGTTTTATAAAGAGGTACCAATACTTTGCATGATCTTGATTCTATGCCTGTTTATACAGCCCAATTCTGTGCAGGACCCGCCAAGAAGCACATGGGAGACAGCTGTTGTGTCACAAAAAGCACAGGAATTGGAAGAAAAGGAGAGTTTTCCAAATGTGGATTTTCCTAACCCGACGGAACCTATAAATCTCAATAAGCGGCTGTTCTGGCCATGATTTGGAAATAAGTGCAAATTCTTTGCTGGCAAAAAAACCCCCAAAAACTTTTTTAGAAAGTATACAGTAACTTTTTTAACAACAGCAAGTAGTTATTTACGAATACCGGTAGTCCTCGACTTAACAAAAGTTCATTTAGTGATTGTTCAAAGTTACAAGGACACTGAAAAAAGTGACTCATGACTGTTTTTCACATTTACGACCGTTGTAGCATCCCCAGGGTCATGTGATCAAATTTCGGACGCTTGGCAACAAGCTCCTATTTATGACGGTCACAGTGTCCCGGGATCACTTGATCCCCTTTTGCGACCTTCTGACAAGCAAAGTCAGTGGGGAAGCCAGATTCGGTTAACAACGGTGTTACTAACTTAACGACAACTGTGGCAAGAAATGTTGTAAAATGGGGAAAATTCATTTAATTCATTTAGCAACAGAAATTTTGGACTCACTTGTGGTTCTAAATCAAGGATTACCTGTAATCCCTCCATAAACTTTGTTAAGATTCATGAGTTGCTAAGCCAAAATCAACCAAACCACATTGTCTTAGCATTAGGATATGGAGGCTGAATTCACATCTGTTATCTATGTCCACTATTCTCTTGAAGCGCTAATTCAGGGGTCTTCAAATTTGGCCCTTTTATGACTTGTGGACTTCAATTCCCAGAATTCCTCAGCCAGGCACTGCTGGCTGAAGAATTCTGGGAGATGAAGTTCACAAGTCATAAAAGGGCCAAGTTTGAAGACCATTGATATAGACTTTAAGAGGACTGGACTTCAACTCCCAGAATTCCTCAGCCAGGCTCCCTAGCTGAGGAATTCTGGGAGTTGAAGTCCACAAGTCATAAAAGGGCCAAGTTTGAAGACCCCTGCTCTAATTTATCAAGAAATGCAAAGGCTCTTTTGGAAATACACCAAATATATCTGGTAAGTTTCTGAGATGATTATTTTTTAATCAAGGATTTAATTGATTTTTCTTGCTCTAGATCAGTGGTTCTCAACCTGTGGGTCGGGACCCCATTTGGGGTCGAACGACCATTTCATGGGGGTCGCCAAACAACGCAGTCCGCCATTTTTTCCCCTTTTCCTTAGCTGTGCTATTCCCTTTTATTCTATTGGCTTTTGAAAGCCAATAGAATAGACTCTCTTGAATAGAGTCTAATTCTATTGGCTTTCAAAAGCCAATAGGAATTGTCCAGGCTGTCTCTGCCCTGCTGAGCCCGCCAAAAGTCCCATTCTGCAAACGGTGCTGCACCAGTTGAGTAGTCCTCGACTTACGACTGGTTGAGTAGTCCTCGACTTACGACCGGTTGGGGGTCGCGGCATTAGAAAGGTTGAGAACCACTGCTCTAGGTCAAAGGTGTCAAACTGCCAGCCCATGGGCCGGTTTCATCATAGGGGAAGCCACGCCCACCCCATTGCCGGCAATGGAAAAAGTCGAGATATGTCATGTGACATGGCAAGTTTGACACCCCTGCTCTAGGTCTAATTAATCCATGTTTTTGCAACTGATACATCACACTTTTAAGAGGACTTTTTGCAGATAGTTAATGGCAACAATGAAAATAAAAAGAAAATGTATGGCTCAATAGGAGGTAAGTGAACACTGTTGCTGTGTGATACAGCAATTTTTATGCACAGACCAGCTGCCGGGGCTACAGGACTGGTAGAGAATTATGACTGCAGCTCTGGCCTGTACACCCTTTATTCCATAAATGTTTCAGCCAACAATGTTTGAGGCTTCAATATAGAACATATTTTGGAAATATGTGCACAAAATATCCCTCATTTATTTTTGAAGTTCTGCATTCTTAGCATTTTTAAAAAGAAAAGCAGCAGAAATCCAACTTGGATCCTAAGAATTATATTGACAAATGATTAAGATTTATTTATATGATTAATGATACAGAAATATAGTATTTTCGACCTTTATTTCAGCAAAAAAGTTTCCAAGATGACCAAACATTGTACATCGTTGGAGGCTAAAAACCTGGACTCGTTTGATTCTACCTAAAGACACCACTGTAAGAATAAATCTATTTCAGCGGACTACATAATTTGATGCTTTGCACTTTTAAAACATGAAATGGTAAAGAGAACAATAAGTTAAGCCACAGTACGTATTGCTTTGAGAATACAAAATGGGTTCAAGTGTTTAAAAAGAACAACTCCAATCTTAAGTGTAATATTTAGCAATACATTAAAATAGATGAAACATGAAGCAAGAAAGCAGCTAAATACAAATTGGCTGTAGACAGTTATATATCTTGGACCAGGGTAATCCAATCTTGCAACTTTAAGACTTGTGGACTTCAGCTCCCAGAATTCCCCAGCCAGCCATGTCCACAGGTCTTAAAGTTGCAAGATTGGTCACTTCTGTCTTGGCATAGAATCAGTGTTTCTCAACCTTGACAATTTTAAGGCATGTGGACTTCAACTCCCAGAATTCCACAGCCAGCATTGCTGGCTGTGGAATTCTGGGAGTTGAAGTCCACATGCCTTAAAATTGTCAAGGTTGAGAAACACTGACCAAGGGTCTTCAAACCTGGCCCTTTTATGACTTGTGGACTTCAACTCCCAGAATTCCTCAGCCAGGCACGCTGACTGAGGAATTCTGGGAGTTGAAGTCCACAAGTCATAAAAGAGCCAGGTTTGAAGACCCCCTGGCTTAGACTAATCCAAGGTAGAGAAAATTAAAAACAACCATGCATTTGGGGACAATGCAGGTATGATTAAGTAGTCCTAATTTAGGTAATTCTGTTTGGCTCCCCTGTAACTTTTGATGCGTAGCTTGGCATGGCTTTCCGAGTGAAGGAAAAAGCAAGTTTGAATTAAACGAGAAATTATAAATGGCCATTTTAATCTACAGAAGGAAGTTAATAGACTATCCTAGAAAACGAGGGGGGGGGAGATAATTTTTTTTTAATCACTTAACACAAGCAGTGCTAAACCACCACAATGCAAATTGTGTTCCTTTTGAACATGTATGCAACATGACAACACTTATAGAAAAGAATGACTAGCTGCTTTCATCGCTTACCCGACACTTGTATCCACGCTCCAGGGAAATGCTTCTGCTTTAAAATGATCTGTTTCTGATTATCTATAATCTTTAACAGCCTTTTGCTAACTTAGTCAAGCTACAAAAAATTGTTTCGCTGTTACTTAATGATACAAGTGTGGGTCAAATGCAAGCTTGGAAACCTTTTTCTCTCCAGCTTATAAGTGGGGAGTTGCTGCCCTATATCAATCCACAGGAATGTAGATTAAAAATTAAAATGGAGATGATTCATTGGGTGATGAAATCTGACATATCCTCCAAGTTTCGCTAATTGCAGAGACATCAATACATTTAACGAAGTATTTCATTCATGCTATAAGAATGTGATGGATGTTCACAGAAGTCCCGTCTTCAGCAATTTTTGGCAACACATGTTCATTTGTTCACAAAGGCTTCACCTAAGGAATTTGGACACACAGCAAACAGAAAACCAGATCCTAGCAATATTTAACCGTACAATATAGTTGAACCTGGTTAAGCAAAATCAGCATTGGTAAAACGAATAAATGATCCAAATGCTGGGAACACTCGGCTTCAGTTCGATTTCTGGAGATGCTATAATGTACTCAGAAATTCTTGGACCTGCAAAATAAAAGAGTGAAAGTAGCGGTTTAATAGACAAGCTAAATAAAAATGGGAGCCGAAATCTGAGAATATACTGAACATGCACACAGTTAAGGATCCATACATATGGTGACCAGAAAATTTATTTGATAAATCTTAATTTATCCTGGGTTTGTTAAGATGAATCTGTTCTCAGAAGCACTAACGAGGGTATTTGCTTAATTAGTGGTGGCGTTTAAGGACATTATGCCAACTGGTGTCTTAGGACAGCGTATGAACAGTGTCCTAAAGCAGTGTTTGTCAAACTTATCAACTTTAAAATATGTGGACTTCAACTCCCAGAATTCCCTGCTGGCATGGAGATTTCAGTAGACACATTAAGGAGAGAAGTCTTGATCATTAACAGAGTCACTTGGAAACATAAAAACTCTCTGATAAGTTTTACCTTCTCAATCATATTTTCATGTTTGTTTCTGTCGCTTTTGAAATCTTCATTTACATCCAGCGTTAGAACGGGTACCCCTTGCAAGTATTCAAACTCTGTTCTGTGAACAACAAAACTGCAATTTGAATTGGAAGCCTAAGAAAGGTAGACAATTTCATTCAGAAATATGTAGAAATCTTATAACACCTTTCTGAAGCAAGCCTCATTATACCTTGAATCATCATACCCTTTGCTAATATGTCTTTAAAAGCCAGAATTGTGGAGGGCTAGAATTCCTAATAACCACGTTAATTACGGTAATAAACAGTGATAAAAAGAGCTTTTAAAATTAGTCATGAAATCAGATATATTTTTAGATATGGAAAGCCTCTAGTGATTTCCACTGGCTCAGATATTTCAACTAGTGGTTATTTACCTATTTATCAAAGAAATTTATGTGACCATCAATCGGACGATCATTTGTCTGAAATGGTGTAGGGTTTCCTGCTTGTGCAGCGGGTTGGACTAGAAGACCTCCAAGGTCCCTTCCAACTGTTATTCTGAGATTAGACCACCTAATTCACATATTGCTAAGCCCACGCACCTTGCAAATTTAAAAACCCACAAAATAAAATTCCGTAACACCCTCCCCATAGCAGCAGTGACTCAATCAATACTTATTTATTGAACAAATTTATGAGGACGCCTAACTTAAATAACATTAGTTTAAAAGTTTTGATTAAAAATCTTCTAGTTCACCAGGGCAGACACAATTTCCAGTGACAGCCTCAACATTTGCTTAGGGCCCAATGTCACTTCTGTTTAGGGAAAGCTTGGTTGAGCTCTCTTGCAAAAGACTTTTGTGGAAACCCCACCAAATGTAGCAGAAACAACCTGGGAAAATAGTCCCAAAGGTGCTTTTTCAAAAGGCAACTGGACTTTCTTGGTTTTTCCTTGAAGATGTTTCGCTTTTTCATCCAAGAAGCTTCTTCAGCTCTGGACATTACGGAAGCGAAACGCCTTCAAGGAAAAACCAAGAAAATCCAGTTGCCTTTAAAAAAAAAAAAAAACAGCTCTGGGACAACCATGACCCGGAGAATCCCCCTAGATAATCAGGGAAATAAAATACCGTAATGTCCTATGCTGGAGCCAGCTTTCATGCTTGTAATGGAGTTTCTCCAGATATTCTATGGGAATGCCTTGTTCTTCATCCCTTCCGCGGATGTAAATCCTATCCAAGCATTTCTAAAAAGAAAAAGGCAAGAATGGAGCAGGATTTTCAGGCAAAACTGAAATAAGGGCAAAAAAAAAAGGGGGGCAAAAAAAAGCAACAAAGATGATGAGGGGACTGGAGGCTAAAACATATAAGGAACGGCTGCTGGAATTGGGTATGTCTAGTTTAACGAAGAGAAGGACGAGGGAGGACATGATAGCAGCCTTCCAATATCTCAGGGGCTGCCACAAAGAAGAGGCAGTCAAGCTATTTTCCAAAGCGCCTGAAGGCAGGACAAGAAGCAACAGATGGAAAAATAATCAAGGAGAGAAGCAACCTAGAACTAAGGAGAACTTCCTGACAGTGAGAACAATTAACCAGTGGAACAACCTGCCTCCAGAAGCGGTGAATGCTCCAACACTGGAAGTTTTTAAGAAGAAACTGGACAGCCATTTGTCTGAAATGGTATAGGATTTCCTGCCTGAGCAGGGGGTTGGACTAGATGACCTCCAAGGTCCCTTCCAACTTTATTATTATTACTATTACTATTACTATTACTACTACTACTATTATTATAAAATGCCACCTTTAAAAACCAGTGTTTAAATACTTATAAAATCAATGAGGTAAGAACCAAAACTCTGCAAAGGATTGTACTCTAATGCAGTGGCCCCCAACCTTTTGGGCCCTGGGGACCGGTTCCATGAAAAGAGGTTTTTCCGCAGCCTGGAGGGGGTGTGGTTTTGCACGCTGCCTGCATCCCACGGATGGGGCTTCGTGGTCCAATTTCTGACATGCTGTGGCCTGGTGCTGGTCCACAGACTGGGGGTTGGGGACCCTTGTTCTAATGTCCAGTGTATTCATAAAGCTTTATTTCTTACTTCAGGAGTAGCTCGGAGATAAATAATGCCATCCAGTTCCAGGCTTGATCCAAACTGCTGATTTATCCAGTTGTGCCAGTCTTGATAAATAGTCCATTCCGTTTCATTCATACAATCAGATTCATATAAATTGGATGCAAAGATGTACCTTTCCAGAAAAAAAAAAAAGAATTCAATTTAGTTTCAATTATCCCAAAACGGCGGAATCATTTTATTTTGGACCTGGAACAAAATATAATTCCGAAAAACAAAATCATTCTCACAGCCAGTTTAACCGTTGCCAGTCCTTCACTGCCAGCTGCAACTGTGAGATGGGTGGCTATCTAAATTGATAGAATAAATAAACTGCTATAAAGACAGGATCCTAGCTAAGAGCTGGCAACTGCATAAACATTCAAAGGTAGCTACATAAAAGTAATTTATGTAGATAGTCCTTGACTGACAACAGTTCATTTAGTGACTGTTCAAAGTTACACTGAAAAAGGTGACTTATGACCGTTTTTCACACTTACGACGGTTGCGGCCTCCCCAGGGTCACATGATCAAAATTCAGACACTTGGCAACTGACTCGCATTTATGACAGTTGCAATGGCCCGGGGTCATGTGATCACCTTTTGCGACCTTTTGACAAGCAAAGTCAATGGGGAAGCCAGATTCATTTAACAACCTGTTACTCACTTAACAACTGCAGTGATTCACTTAACCACTGTGGCAAAATGGGATGAAATTCACTTAACCAATGTCTCACTTAGCAACAGAAATGTTGTGCTCAATTGTGGCCATACGTTGAGGACTACCTGTATATGCACACAGGCTAAATGTATATTTTGTGCATACTGCCTTCTCTGTAGAAAAAGAACAAGAAATAAGACAGAAGCCAACACCTCAACACTGTCTCTCTCCTATAGTCTAGATCAGTGATGGTGAACTTATGGCACTCATGCCAGAGGCGGCACTCAGAGCCCTCTCTGTGGGCACATGCACTGTCACCGCAGCCCCACCTCCCCCCATGGCCCCCTCACCAGCAGCCCCCCTAGAGGAGAGTCGCCCCGGGTGTGACCCGCGCGGAGCAGCGCAGCCAAGGACATGGCAGCCAGGCTGCAGGGACAAGACTCCGCTCTTGCGCCCCATCACGCGTAGATGATGCTGTGGGGCGCGGGCGGAGGGCATGGCTGTCACAGCGCTGCAGAGCCGCTTGGGCGATCTGCTGCAGCGGGCCATGGAGGCAGTAGGTGGCCCTGCGGCCAGGTGTGGGGCAGGGCAGGGGCGGTTTTTGGGCACTCGGGTTTCTAAAAGGTTTGCCATCACTGGTCTAGATTCAGTCCAACCTTCCCCAAAGTATGTATGTACCCTTCAGAATTCATCTCCCAGAATTCCCTAGTTAAAATAGCCATTGCCAAGAATGCTGGAAGCTGAACTTCAGATAACTGGAGGTGAATTGTTCTAACCCAGCCTAGTGTCAAGAAACCAATTCCATGATTGAAAAGGGGGAAACTTTTCAATTTCTCCAAAAACTGAAAGGAGGATGAGATGCAAAACTGAGGAGAGGTGACTTAAAAAGACGGTTATCAAGAATCACATGGATACCTGTCACTGTAAACTGATCGCTCAAAGAAAACCACAGCATTCTCAGCTTCTTTTAGTTTCCCTTCAAGAGATTTGAGCTGAGCCCTGATTCTGCTCAGACAGGCGTAGGCTTGAAAAGTAAAGGACCATCTCTCCGGCTTTTCATACATCATCTGAAGAAGGTTTCCACCACTCTTTTGTGAGGCCGTCAGCTCCTGTTTAAACGTTCATCAAAATTACATGAGAATTAAAAATGGCTTTGCTTTAATAATTGATTTGCATGTTCTCCAATTCTGGACACACCCTGAAATGTGAGAGTTGCCTATCCACGTCATCAAACCTATCTAATATGGCATGTAGCCCCATGCAGTGTCTTGTTCCTCCTCCGTTTGGTCTCAAAAATCTATTTCTTATTATGCCCAATTCATATAATCAATATTTTATCATACCTCACAGTTATCATGGCTGTCCTGAACATTGCACCATTTTGCCACTGGCTCTGGAACAATTTCCCATTCTTCTCGGGCTTTTTTGAGAATATTCACAAAGGTAGATTTGCCTGCGGCTAAGGAATAGAAAAGATACTCATCAAACCAGTAAGATTCTGCAGTTGTCTTTAGAACTTGCTACCAGTTTTTTAAAAAAGGAATGGTTTATTTAATTTCTATAGCCACCGATCTCGACTGAGTGACTCTGGGTGGCGAAGAATTCTAAAACAATTAAAACAGTTCAAAACAGTACAAAATAAATATATACAGCAGCCGAGAAAGTTATTGTAATTGTCACCAAAGCCAAGAACTTAACACATTTCCGGCTCTAGGCCTGAGAACATAAAAACTAGATTTTTAAAGCCGTACAAAAGGCCAACAGGGTCAAGGCCATTCTAAGATGGATATGAACCAGCTCTATAATGGGATTAAAAATGTAATAAATTCTGAAGAAAAGATATTCAAAAGGGCAGGGTCTACAGCAGAGGACAGCATCAGAAATTAGCCTTTGTTTAGTACCCAGGAGACGCTATTTATATACTGTATACAAGATAGTCCCTTGTATAGACCTATAGCTTGCTTTTCAATTTAACTTAAATTTCAAAAGAGGTGCTAACGCTGACAACAATATAAGACTTTGTAAGCCTTGCTGGTTCCACTAGGTCAGTGATGGCGAATCTTTTAAAGACCGAATGCCCAAACTGCAACCCAAAACCCACTTATGCATTGTCGGGTGCCGGGTGGGTGTGGCCCATTGGCTGGGTGCGGCCAATTGGGGAGGTGTGGCCCATTGGATGGGCGTGGCTGCCGTGGTAACGGCAGACTGGGTGGGACTAAAAAGTTCAATCAATCAATTCCAACTTTGCAAGATCTTTTTTTTTCTGCGAGAAGTTGAAATTGACTGATTGATTGAACCTTTTTTTTTTGCACACGGCAGCGGAGTCCTAAAGTGAAAAGGTTTTATAAAACCCAGCTGAAGGCCTAGGACTGGGGCGATGGCGCAGGTACCCACAGAGCCACCACTGCACTAGGTAAACGTCTCCCAAACTTTGACATTCATAGTCAAGCTTGCAAGTGATACTCTTAGGAAAATGAATGATGCTGTCCAGCTCCTTAGGCTTTAATAGTTTGTTTTAGCAATTTTTTTGCCATTATTCTTTCACCGATCTTATATTGTTTTTCTGGACTTGTAACGTAAGCCAACCCAAAGGTACAATAGTGAGGTTGGCAGATATAGAAATTTACAAACAAAAAGTGACGTAGGTTTTTAGAAGGTGCATTATTTATTTCTCAGACACCTACTTCAAAAGTTAAAAATATGAGTTTAGAGCAAAACTGAGCTGGAATATAGAATATTATAGAATGTTATTCTATTATGCTGAGCTGGAATATTTCTGTGGTCGTCTTGACCACTTCTCATTTTCAGCTCCAAGCTTTACTCTGTATGTGTGTGTGTGTATATGTGTGTGTGTGTGTGTGTGTGTGTGTGTGTGTGTGTGTGTGTGTGTGTGTGTGTGTGTATGGTTCTCCGCATGGCTTTTTTTTCCTCATAGAACGCCCAGAACAGAGTTCCAGCACCTTTTTTGGATGGAACCTTGTAGGGTAGGCAAGGCACCTTTTCTTTTTACAAAAAAAGCACTGGTTCTCCAGGTTTTTTTATTATATGGTGGATTTTTTTTTAACGTTGTAAGCCACCTTGAGTCCCCTATGTATGAGTTGGGTGTAACTTAGACATAGAATAGAAATAAGAATTATTAGGGAATAGAATAGAATAGAATAGAATAGAATAACTTTATTGTCACTTTAAATGTACAATAATCAGCGTACATTGCAATGAGATTTTGTTGCATACAGCTCTCAAAGGGTAACCACCTCCAATAAAGAATGCATAAACATGACCAAAATAAAAATATAATAAAAATGATAACAATAATAACTTAGTTGAAAAAAAAAAAAAACACCCCCATCGACTTAATTTGCTACTTCAGTTCATAATTCAGGAACAGCGGCGAGTACAAAATAGCCAGGCAGACTGAGGAATTGACTGAAATCAAGATATATTACGCTTCCAGCCTTCCCGCGTCATCTACCGAGCAAGCCGCCCTCTGGAGAGCGAGCCTTTCCCCTCTCCCCCCCGACGGCTTACCTATATTGCCCTCAATGGCGATCTTCTTCACGCTGGCCCGGCTTCGTTTGGGTGGAGTTGCCATGGAAACGGCCGGCCGGTCTCGAAAGACGGAGCTCCCCCTCAGAAAGAAACGGCAGCGCAGGAAGGACAAAAAGCGCGGGAACGCACTTCGGCGGCTATGCCAAACGCCGCTTTATTCTTCCCCGCCGGCGTTCGAATTTGGCGCGGGATCGATCGAGGTTACGTAACCAGTGACGTCACACGAAAGCTCCGCCCAGCTTGGCCCAAGTTGCCGCGTCCCCCTGCCTTTTGAGGCTGCGACCTCTTTCAATCGCTTCTTGGCTCGGCTACAGGGGCCCGAGAGGGACAGAAAAGGTGAGGTGGAAAAGCGAACGCCCGTCAGCTTAGCGCGCGGCTGAAGAATAAAGAGCCCAGCGTTGCTAAATGGGGGAGTCGCCCGCCAGGTGCCGATGCCGGCTTCCAAAGCGAAAGGGAAGCTTAATCGCACGCCGAAAAACGGATTCAGCCGGAAGGGAGGCAAGTTGGAGCTCCGAGCGCATCGATCACATCTATTGGGATGAGGTTGTCTGGAACCAGACACCCTTTCCAACCCGGATAAAATTATTTCCCTGCAAAACGGGGAAGTTTTTCTTTTTTAAAACCATTATTCTGTCTCTAGGCCAGGGGTCTTCAAACTTGGCCCTTGCATGAGTTGTGGACTTCAACTCCCAGAATTCCTCAGCTTGCCTGGCTGAGGAATTCTGGGAGTTGACGTCCACAAGTCATGCAAGGGCCAAGTTTGAAGACCCCTGGTCTAGGCAGCTTTGCGTCCACTGCGAAGAATGGGAGAAACTGCATTTAGTTGTGTGTGTTTTTGTTTCCACCACGTCCAGGGACCAACTTAAGCAGCCTGAGCATGTCAATGCAATTCATGGACTTTTCAGGACAATTTTAAGATATATATGGACTTCAAGTGAAAAAAGATGCCAAGGTTGAAAAACAGTGTCTCAGAGAGTGGGATGCTAGCTTCCTTCAGCATGAGACTGCTGCAGGGAAACTGGGTTTGAGTTGAGTTTGTCTCCATTATCATGTTTCCAAACTGGTCATTATTAAGGGTGGGGAATGTAGTACATGGCAGATATCTCCTCTGTCTTGCTAAGCAGCATTATCTTAAAGCCTCAGACTGGAATAGTGGAGAAAAATAACATTCTGCAATGATACCTTTGATTGTATTAAACTATAATATCTCCAGTGTTTCTCAGCTGTGGCAACTTTTAAGAGGGGTGGACTTCAACTCCCAGAATTCCCCAGCCAGCATGTATCGAGAAATACTGATTTATCTACCTATTCCAGATCTTTCTCAAACTCCAAAGAGATGGACAAAAAGGCCAAATCTAATCCGGCTGACTGTGTGACCAATCATCATCATCATCGTAGTATCGTCTAGGACAGGGCTTTTCAACCTTTTCACCCATTGTACCACTTTTCAGATATGGCAATATCCGAGTATCACCAGTTGCCTAGCAAGGTGTCAAAAACTTGATGACCCCCCCCCCAAAAGGAAAAAAGTGATGAAGTACAGGTAGCCCTCGACTTACAACAGTTCTCTTGGTGACTGTTCGAAGTTACAATGGCACTGAAAAAAGTGCCCCCCAAGCCACAGCCGAGCAAGACACCTGCCTCCCCACCTGGCGGCGCTCTTCCTCCTGTCCGAGGTTTCCATTGTTGTGAGCATTTTTGTTGAGGATTGGCAGCGGGGATGGGGTGGGGGTGTGTGCGGTTTTTATTCCCCCCATCTGCTGGGTGGTTGCAGCAGGTTTTGGTCACTTCACATGATCCTGGGACACTGTGATTGTCATAAATATGAATCAGTTGCCAAGCATCTGAATGTAAATCACAAGACCCTGGAGATAAGGCAACATTCCAGCTGATTGGTGCTTCTTCAGGGCTCAGCAGAAGCACCAGGATCAGCGCCGAGCTCCAGCTGGAGCCTGACACTGAGCCTGACGCTTCCACTGAGCCCTGACAGTCCCGAAGAAGCGCTGGTCAGCTGGAAAGCAGCACTGATCCTGGGGCTTCCGCAGAGCCCTGACAGCCCTTCAGCTCCAGCCATCTCTCACTCAGGCTTGTGCGGTGCTGCTACCAGTTCAGCTCATTCCCCTCCCCGGCTACCACTTTTCTAGGATGGTCGCGTACCACCTGCCAGGTGCCAATGTACCACAGGTGGTACCTGTACCACTGGTTGAAAAGCCCTGTTCTAGGAGTCCATCTTGTCCTGACCATGGCATTTATAAAATAATAAAGGCAGGATAAAAATCAAATAAATGTGGAAAACTGCAACTTGGATGAAGAGAGGAGTAAGTGAAAAGGTGTGATAAGGAGGAGGATCTAATGCAGGGGTCTTCAAACTCGGTCCTTTTATGACTCGTGGACTTCAACTCCCAGAATTCCTCAGCCAGCCAAGGTGGCTGAGGAATTCTGGGAGTTGAAGTCCATGAGTCATAAAAGGACCGACTTTGAAGACCCCTGATCTAATATGTTTTTTCCCCAGAATATGAGCTGAACTGATATTTTTACCTGAACGATTATGTGGGCATAATTTCTGATGCTAAGCAAGATAGTTGTGAATTCAGATTTGCCCCATGTTATGATTTTTCTTGCCCCAATTGTTAAGTGAATCACTAGAGGTATTAAGTTAGTAATACAGTTGTTAAGTGAATCTGGCTTCCCCATTGACAGATTTGTCGCAAAGGTGATCACATGACCCTGGGGCACTGCAACCATCATAAATATGAACTATTTGCCAAATGTCCAAATTTTAATTATGTGGGGATGCTGCAACAGTCGTAAGTGTGAAAAATGGTCATAAATACTTTCAGTGCAACTGTCATTTGAACAATCATTGTACAAATGATTGTTAAGTCAAGGACTACCTATAATTAACATTGTTTATATATGTGTGTGTCTGTGTCTGTGTGTGAGAGAAAGAGACACCCTTAGCTAATGATTTGGGGAAGGTTTAGGGCAGGGGTCTTCAAACATGGCCCTTTTATGACTTGTGGATTCAACTCCCAGAATTCTTCAGCAAAGGCATCCACAAATCATAAAAGGGCCAAGTTTGAAGACCCCTGGTTTAGGGTTTTCTAATGTAGTCATGCATTCAACTCTTATCAAACATCTTTCCAGACTGGAGAACACATCCACAAATATACTAAAAATCTGTAAAATGTCTTGAATTTTGGGTGGTCCAGACTCAACCCCAAAAGTGTTGATTCCTGTATGGAACAAAATGGGGCTGTTTGATCCAGGCAGAACTAGCTGGGGGAAGAATCATCATCATCATCATCTCCATCTAAAGGAATTCTACTAAAACTTTCATTCTATACGGTACTGAAAACTGCTTCTAAATCAAAAGTGAAAGTATTCTATGTATACTGAATAAAAAGAATCCAATCGTTATCCAAAATGAATGAGGTTCAAGTCCGGGTCTGTTATGTGTAGGCAAAAACAACCACACAACCTCCTTTATACAAAAACTTCATCAACCTTTTGGTAACCTGAGTTACGGATCTGGATGGACATGGGTTCATTTTATTGCCATTTGACTTGCTCGCAGTACAAACAGTTAACAAATCCATCTGACGTAACTGCAGGACACCTTTGCTGAGGAAGGATCAGATGTGCACAATGTACAGATACATACGAATCTCATCTATTAAAAATTATAAGTACGAGAAGGGAAAAAAGCACTCATGTCAAACATAGCTATTTATTTATTTTTCTTATAAACAGCATCCATTTTCCTTACTGAAAAAAGCCTAGAATTTATATAGTTTTTCATCCCATCACTTACAACAATATGTATACATTATTTACATCTTTTCCAATATATGTGTTGCAGAATTTCAGACATCCAACTTTTTTTTTTACTATTTTTTCATTAAAAAGCCATTTTTTTCAGGTAGAACAAGTACTGATTTAGTGACTACAAACTGAAGTAATATTGGCACAGTTTGCTTACAGTACATATTATGTTGCATTTTATATTTTTAAATGATTTTTTTTGTGTGTCCAGCATCTGCTATTACCTTTCTCTCTCTGATAAGCAGCTACCTTTTTTTTTCCTTCTTTTAATAGAGAGGGTGTCACCGAGGCAGGTCAAATTTCTATCCCTAATACAGCATAAATTGTAGCACACAGGATCCGCTTAATTTCATCAGCAGAATCAAATGGCAAAGCTTTTTTCCAAAGCTGCAAGATTTTTGCCCATGTAATTACGTTTCCTTGCCGGAAACATGGAATGTTAACCAAAAACTTCCTGCGTCTACAGAAATGTGTTCAAATTTTGAGTTGCCCAGAGATGCAAATTCAGAAAAGCTTCAGGTTGATTCTGCTGGTTGTAAATATTCTCACTCAGGCAGGAAGCAATCGCCACTATAGATCCTTTTCAAAGGGTATACTAAGGAATGACCAGCTTCTCTGGGATTTTTCTCTACTCTTTACCAAGAGAGCACAGAAAAAAAAATTGCTCCTATATTTTTCTAATATGCTGCACAAAGAAGGACCTGGGTAGATCTATCTAGGTCAGGAATAGGCAACCTTGGTTCTTTTATGACTTGTGGACTTCAACTCCCAGAAATCCTGAGCCAGCCATGCTGAGGGAAAAGGGAGAGGTTTCCAAGCCGAGCCATGCTGGCTCAGGAATTCTGGGAGTTGAAGTCCAGGAGTCATAAAGCGGCCTAGGCCCAGGCCAGAGGTAGGTAACTTTGGCTCTTTTATGACTGGTGGACTTCAACTCCCAGAATTCCTGAGCCAGCCATGCTGAGGGGAAAGGGAGGTTTCCAAGCTGAGCCATGCTGGTTCAGGAATTCTGGGAGTTGAAGTCCACCAGTCATAAAAGAGCCAGGGTTGCCTACCGCTGATCTAGGTACTGGAAGGGACCAGCAAGTAAGTTTCTTCACAAATCTGTTTTCCCCCTCACTACATATTCAAAAGCGTTGATTCTCATGACAATATTTAGCAACACGACATCAGTGAGTAAAATTCAAAAATGGAACCAAATGACATTTCAAAAGATTTTGTGTTCCAAATAACCTAGTAATAAGTGTACAAAAATAATGAGTACAGTTTAGTGGCTATAAAAAATTAATTTTCCCTAAAAATACATTAATCTATGAAAAAACTATTGAAAGGACAGTGCTCTTGGGAAAGAAAATTAGCAAATAAAGCGTCTTAAAACTGGAGTTATTCTGCTACCGCAGGAGAGAATCGTGTTTTTAAAAGGAAGCACACGTGTGCAATAGACATAAATGGAAATATACCTCTAAAGTGGCTACTGGCTCTAGAAATGCAGTTTAGGAAAACCCAAATTGTTCTTGCCTATTCAGAAATGAAATTTATCCCTCCCTTCCCTGCATAAAATGCATTAAGTAATATGAGAGCATTGCAGTTGAAAAATGGATAGGTCCAACTTCATATTACAGTTTTAAAATGGACATTCTGGCATTTTACCTATCCTTTAGTATATGGGGAGAAAAATACATGTCTTAAATTATTTTCCAAATAAATCAACACACACACTTCCGCTCCCCCCCTTCAGAAAAATAATCTTTATATGGAAATCTAAGAAAAGGCCTTCGGTCATGGGAATAAAAAACAAAATAAGACCAGTATATAGCAGCATTGGCTTTTTGCCTATGGGATAAGTTTGAGAGAATGGTGTCAATTCTAAATTCTTAATAGAATTTGTAATCAGAATTTGTAATCAGAATTTTTCTGATTCTGTAAGATTACCAGTGAATATTCAAAATTCTCTCTTGCATAGTAAGCTGTTAAAGAAATGGGAATTTCCCTTTTGAAAGTTATTTCTTTAAAGCCCACCTAACTACTACTGGAGAAAAAGTAGGATACCTTTATACTTGCACAATTAGCATGAATCCCTAACATGGATGTGTGAAGTAGGCTTGTAATTTTTTAGGGCCAGGATAATAAAACTTCTCCCATTAATGTCAATTCTCTGGATTAAATCAATCACTGGCTCAAGAAAACACAACACAGCTGGTTTTTAGGAACTTGGATCTATGCTTACGACCATCCATCTTGGTCAGCCTCATCTAATTAAGGTAGGTTACCTGTGCAGGTGGGTAACCAAGAGAAAAGAGCAGACTGACAGGTGATACAGAGAATGGAGCCAGTTCTGACATTTTACGGCAGGGGTCTTCAAACTTGGCCACTTCAAGACTTGTGGACTTCAACTCCCAGAATTCCCCAGTGAGCCATGGCTGGCTAGGGAATTCTGGGAGATGAAGTCCACAAGTCTTGAAGTGGCCAAGTTTGAGGACCCCCGTTTTAAGGCTATTCCTTCTTCATGGAAGGAACACAAGTGTTTGTCAATGGCTGGTCATAAAGAAAAAAAATAAGTGTCTGCAAAGGCATACGATTTCTAACACAGCGTCCTTTTAAAATGAAAAGGCTAGATTCCAGGCTGTGACCTTTTTTTTTTTTTTTTAATAATACTACAATGTTCAATTTTCAAAATCTGTGTTCAACTGAAAGATCAAGGAAGCTTTTCTTTTTGCGTTGTAACACACTTTTTAAACAGTATTTTCCAAGACCACCAGAGCAATCCCACTAAAAGCGTCTAGTGCTAATCAAATTCAGAATAATCACCGTCTTAATACTGTCAATGCTTCAATCTTCAAGGCAATAAGAAGAGTTGAACCAACAGCCCTCTTTGTCAACCATCTCCAAGTGTTTATCATTTAAGAAGGAAATTGGCAATGAATGGAGTCCACCTTTATCATCATTGTTTTCAATGAGTCCCTTAAATGTTAAGACTAAAATTATGGGAGATAATTACTATGGCCAAGCTATATTGATTCGAATTAAACTTTATGTTGAGGTCTTACACATTTCAAGATCCAAACAGGTTTTAGAGGACACCTAGCATTTTTCTTCTTTTATTTTTAACAGATATCTTTTAGGGGTGGTTTAAAATTGCTAGATGAAAATTGGGGATATTTAAAATTCTAACCTCTAAACTGCTTTCAGCATCCCAGCTTTGAACAATTTTTTTTTTCCATTAGCAATGTAAACTTTCAAATTCAAGGTTCAGCAAATCAGGACTGTGAATCTGACTTCTAAAATTAAATATTGACAAAACGTATTATGAACATCAGGCTCAAAACTGGTTATGAAACATTGCCAAGAGTTTGATTACGGTACTCATTTTTTAGTAGATCCATCGGAAGAACCATCATTATTAATGGCTATCAGGTTATAAGGGTCAAGAATACAGCTAGATAATGTAACCACAGTAAATTTGTATTTTTTCCCCTCATATGACTATGTTTAATTATCTACTTCTCAGGCAAAAGACATCCTGTATGCCTTTTATCACTTCAGTTCTTAAAAGTATCTGAAAGGTATATATAATCTCGAAGATATAATAAAAGAAACTGTTGTGTACATTAGACTTTTAAGATATTCATGGGTTTTAAATATTATTAGTTTAATGGACACACAGTACATGTTCGTGTGATTTTAGCTAACCCCAATGATAATGTGAAAAGTGGGCTTCAAGGTTAGGATCTAAGGCAGTGTTTCTCAACCTTGACAATTTTAAGGCATGTGGACTTCAACTCCCAGAATTCCACAGCCAGCAATGCTGGCTGTGGAATTCTGGGAGTTGCAGTCCACATGCCTTAAAATTGTCAAGGTTGAGAAACACTGATCTAAGGATACATGGAGTAATTTTGTGTGTCAGTCAATCCATGGAAACGGTGGGGAAGCAGACAAAATGTGTGACATTCCAGAAAAGTTAAAAAAAAAAGGGGAGATATTTTGGATTTAATGCTCAAACCACTGGCAAGTTTCAGCTGCCCTGGCATTTAGAACAATAGCGGATGATCCCAGGTCATGAAATCAGAAATTGGCTTCTCATTTTTGAATTCCTCAAAAGGAATTATCCCAAATTCTAAACATTCTATGATAAAGGATATAAAGAGAGAGGAAAATCAGCAAAACAACACTGAAAATGTTATCAAAATGGGTGCGTCTCCAATTATCTTAAATGACCACCCGCTCAAAATTCCAAAACACCATTGTACTTTTGTTACAAGAGATAAATGCTTTCCCTTATAGCATTCTTGTTCAATTGAGACTACAAAGGGGCTGCGGATTTAGGATGCGTGAAATGGAAAAGTAAACTGCTCAGTAGACTGAGACAATTTCTCTTTATTAAAAGTTGAAACACTAGGATGCTTTGTCCCCATTTTTTAAAAATAACCAAGGTAGATTTATAAATATTTCCTTTATTAATATTACTGTTCCTTGGAAACGGCTTCCCTTTTATTTTGACTAGATGCCACTGCAGGATTTCAATTGAAAAGACTGAATTTTTTTCTAGTTCAATTTGATAAAGCACTGATTGAAAAAAATAATCCTACCGGTAGATCAGAATGAGTTAAAATCTTGGCAGAATGTATATTGTCAAAAGTAATGTATCCAGTATCATTCTTGGCCCCTACAATATTGGAGATGTATTAGATCGGGGTCCTCAACCTTGGCAACTTTTAAGACTTGTGGACTTCAACTCCCAGAATTCCTCACTGAGGAATTCTGGGAGTTGAAGTCCACAAGTCTTAAAGTTGCCAAGGTTGGAGACTCCTGTATTAGATGGGTAGCTCAGTATGTTATTTAAAAAATATATATGAAAAAATGAGCCACTCATTGACTTCTCTTCCCCAAACTATGTTCGCTTCTAAAGTCATTGCTTTCTCTTAAAGATTGGAGATCACTGACAGACGTTATGGCTTTTAGAAAAGGTTTGCACATATTTATTACATATAACAAGTATTAATAAATGTCCTGGGTAGCTATTTGTGTTTTCTGTTTCCAGCAATGTTCTTTGTATGTGCTTTGTACCCCAGAAGAGAATCTACCAAGGCACTTAGAGAAGATTAAATCTCTTTTTAAGGACCTTCTGAGAAAAGATGTACAACTGGCAATCCTGCACTTTCCAACTAGCAGTGTGTCACATTTCCCAACAAGCATGTCTTTTTCCTTTATTAACACACAACATCTGCTTAAAAATGAACAAGAACAATGAACAAGAACAGAAAACCATTTACTGTGTGTGTGTATATCTCACTAAGTGAAAGAGGTTTTCACTAAGAAAAAGCACAGAGAATGGATCTAGGTTGCCTGAAGTAAAACAGAAGTTTCCTTTCCTTTCTAAAACAAACAAACAAAAGGTTGCAAACCTCCACACACTTACTCGGGAGTTAAAAGTCCCCTGGAACTTAAATGCGGTAGAGAATTTCAAACCCAAATCCCTTAAAAAACCCCACATGCCTGCTTAAAGAAAACAAAACAAGATTTCCATAATTTCGTTTTCGCTTATCTATCCTTGGAAGTGAGTTTTTCAATCAGTTCTTGGAGCGGGGCAAGTTCTCTTCTGTCTATAAGATTAAATTCCTGTGGGAGGGAGAAATAAAATCAACATCTCAAATCAGATGCTTAAAGGGAAGATATTAAATCGCTGAAAGCAAATCACTTTATGAGGAGATTAGGGAGAAAAAGACAGGTCTCCTAGGAAGGAAGGAAGGAAGGAAGGAAGGAAGGAAGGAAGGAAGGAAGGAAGGAAGGAAGGAAGGAAGGGATTTCCTGCTTCTCAGGAATGTACTTTACCCATCTTTTGTGGCATGCATGGCCAGAAATTACCTCTTGTGGTTTCAGGAGTTCCCTAGCTAAAACCCACCAATGCCTCTAAATATCTGGTGCAGTTTCCACCCTGTTCTAACCAAAGCAGACAAAAATCAGTGAAGAGAAATAGATTTAAGTTTCACTGCCCTACCTACAGCAGTGGCTAAAATTGTGGAAACCTTTTGGGAAAAGTGTATTTTTGAGGTTTGATGGCTAGTAACACCACTTGTTTTTTGGAGTAGTACCATAAAATTATATATCAGTGGAAAGATAATTTAATCAAGAACGTAATGCAACAAAGTTTGTTCAATTATCTGTACTGTGTTCTATGAAAAGTTGTAGCCAGATAACCAGAAAAAGGAAGCACAACTTGCTTAGGTTGATATCAGGTAGCTTTCCTTCATCTGATGGTAGCCAATGAGCGTGAGTGTTTAGAGAGCCAATCGGGTGTCATCTTGTTTTGGCAATGAACCAATCAGATCACAGTAGGGTTCAGTTATTGAAGCTGAGAGGAGGACATTTGTCAGTGTGTTATGTGATCGCTATCAAGTTGGTTGGGGTTTTTCTTGTGTTCTTTCATTGAGTGAGCTTGTAAAACATAATAAAATTAAAGTAAAGGTGCAAAGAGTTGACTGCTTACCCAGAAAGCGATGTAAAATAGTATTATTAAGTGAACAAGGCTACAGTGATAAAGAAATGAGAAACGGGTGGAAACTTAAGCAAAAGTGGCATTTCTACTGTACACTTTTCCCAAAAGGTTTCCACAAAAGTCAAGATTATAGGAAATAGTTTTTCAGCTATTGAGAATCCCAAGATATATTCCCCTCAAAGTGGCAGAAAGCTGCAAAAATTATTTTGTACGTACAAAATTAAATCACAGCCATTGCTGTGTTTGTTTACCTGAACAAAAAAGATAAAGTGCTTGAAGGATGTGTTGAGATGTGCCTCTTCTTGAAGCTGAATAACCGGATCAAAGTGCTGGTGATATATGTGAGCGTAAACTCTGAAGAGACGCTTTAAGATGGTCTTAGCTACGGACATGAAATTCTTTGGGAAAGGAACACCTGGAAATCAAGCAAAATATAAATCATTCCCATTCTACTAAACAGCTATTCAACGTTGCCAGAATGTGAGGACCAGATTCATCGGAAAAGCACTATCCAAATACAGGTTTGTCCCAGCAAAAATATTTAAATCAGGGATCTTCAAACGTGTCCCTTTTATGACTTGTGGACTTCAACTCCCAGACTTCTGGGAATTGAAGTCCACAAGTCATAAAAGGGGCAAGTTTGAAGACCCCTGGTTTAAACTATCCAGTGAATTTATTTAAGTGTCTGACCTGAATGAAATGGACAAGTCTTCTCCAATCTAGTACACTGAGATAACAACTCTGAGTTCTCCAATCAGCACAGATGCCTGGGAACTTTCAAAGGCACCCAAAGTTGCTTGGATGACTAATATAACATCTCAGATTAACCAAGTTTGCTCCAGTTGCCACCATTCAACCTTTAGATACCTTTGGCCTGGACGACTGAATTTTAATTGACGTATTGCAAGCCGTTTTGGGGAGAAAACCCCTGAAGTTGGTGTGGCAAGAGTTGGTATATTCCAACAACTCTCTGATTCTCTACCTAGCTAATTTTGCTCTGACGGATGAGGCTGCTTGGATGAGCAACGAAACATCTCAGATTAAATAAAGGTTTGGTCCAGGTTAGGGAGAGTTGCCATGAAATCATTGAATGATAGCTATTAAAATTCATATTGATAAGGGGCATTGTGAAAACCTGAAGTCCATGGAAGGACATATCATGATGGAGAAAACCTATCTGTGGGGTTGCTAAGAATCAACACTGACGTGATGGCACGTAGTCAATCTATCAGTCAATCAAACCAATCAAATTACTGTATGTATGTATGTATATGTATATGTATGAGAGAGAGAGAGAGAGAGAGAGAGAGAGAGAGAGAGAGAGTGTGTGCACTACTAAAGGTTGAGAAACCTGAATATATATGAAACCTGAATACACACACACACACACACACACACACACACACACACATATTCAAAACTTGTGGCTGGCAAAGAGTTAGTGGGAGACTAGTATAGCTATTTCAGGCTCATTTTGCCCTCATCAGCTAGTCACACCCTTCAGGGATTCGAACCTGGGCAGCTTGCAAGTTAGGCAGCTGTATTACCCTTTTGAGTCACAGGTTCCCCCTTACTCTTGTCAGCAGAAACCAGGGAGGATATATATCTTATCTGTTGGGTGAGGCACCCGGTCTACCAAATATAATAAATCAGTCTGTTCTGCGTTTAGCTCCAATCTAGGAGCATGTTTTGCAGGCAGACCTCACATACTGTGAGCACTATAAATTCAAAATTTGTGGCTGGCAAAAAGTTAGTGGGAGACTAGTATATCTATTTCAGGCTCATTTTGCCCTCACGAGCTAGTCACAGAACACAGAACAGACTGATTTATATTTGGTAGACCAAGTGCCTCACCCAACAGATAAGATATATATGTATGTATCTATATGTGTATAGTCCTCGTGTAAATCTTTTTGATGTCATGCAAAAAACTAATGATGATGATGATGATATCCATTTAGACATGTCCGACTCTTGGCGAGTCTGTGGGCCAGGTCTTCCAATCTTGCCCTCCTTCTTCTTGTTCTTTGCTCTGGCTGGTGTCAGCTTTGAGGATGCTCAAACTGGCTTCCTGTAAACCACCCAAATGTCACCAGTACTAAATATATTATGTTTTCTTCAGAATTTTGTGTGCTACTTTTTTTTGTGCCTGAAGTTTTTGCTTCCTTCCATACTTTCAGAAATAACATAAATGCCACCCCATTTTTTAAGTTAGTATAGTCCCAAAGCCCACACTTCAGAGTTACCGATTTTAGATGGAAATAGCGTCTCGTCATCCAGCTGATCCTGAACCCAGGTCATAAGGTAATCGATGTACTTTGGTGCCGAGCACTTGATTGGCTTCTTTATGTTGGTCCCATCTGCCCAATGATATTCATATCTGGAATGGAAGGAAAGTGAAATAGGTTCCTTTTAATAGGTAAATGTAAGCTCAACCATCCAGGCCAAAAGCAGGTAAAAAGCATGGCTTGGATGATTAACTCTACATTTAAATAAATAATAATAATAATAGTAATAACATTAACAATAACAATAATAATGTTGGAAGGGACCTTGGAGGTCATCTAGTCCAAACCCCTGCTCAGGCAGGAAACCCTATACCAGGGGTGTCAAACTCGCAACATCACGTGACGTGTCATGACATATCACGACTTTTTTTTCCACTGCCGGCAATTGGGTGGGCACAGCAATTTGACACCCCTGCTCTACACCATTCCAGACAAATTGCTGTCCAGTCTCTTCTTCAAAACTTCCAGTGTTGGAGCATTCACCGCTTCTGGAGGCAGGTTGTTCCACTGATTAATTGTTCTCACTGTCAGGAAGTTTCTCCTTAGTTCTAGGTTGCTTCTCTCCTTGGTTAGTTTCCACCCGTTGCTTCTTGTCCTGCCTTCAGGTGCTTTGGAGAATAGCTTTACTCCCTCTTCTTTATAGCAGCTCCCCAGATATTGGAACACTGCTATCATGTTACCCTCATCCTTTTCTTCGTTAAACTAGACATACCCAATTCCAGCAACGGTTCCTTACATGTTTTAGCTTCCAGTCCCCTGATTATCTTTGTTGCTCTTCTCTGTACTCTTTCTAGGGCAGGGGTAGGCAACCTTGGCTCTTTTATGACTCGTGGACTTCAACTCCCAGAATTCCTGAGCCAGCCATGCTGAGGGGAAAGGGAGAATTTCCAAGCTGAGCCATGGTGGCTCAGGAATTCTGGGAGTTGAAGTCCACGAGTCATAAAAGAGCCAAAGTTGCCTATCGCTGTTCTAGAGTCTTAATATCTTGAGATATTGCACTTCATTTTGGGGAGAAACCCCAACAAGAATTAGTTTGTCCCAACAGCTCTCTGACTCTCTGCCTAACCAAAAATTTTCATTTTAACTGAAGAAGTTATTTGGATGATTAACGAAACATCTCAATTTAATCAACTTTGGTGCAGTTGCCATGATTTAGCCTTTTTTACATAAGGTTCCTTTTAAATAATCCTAGATCTCCACTTACATTGTCGTGCTTTGAAGGGGGGCTGGGATACGAGCGTTTGATTTTGGGTTTGATTTCTTCCTTTTAAAATAAGAATAAGTTGTTCTCTTGAAGAGATGAAAGGCTGGGTGCTGTTCTGGCACAAAGAGTCTTGTTCCACCCCACCCACTCCCAGCAAATGTCAGGAGAGACAAAAACCACACAATATAGAACACCCTTGCCTGACATGCACACCATTTTTGAAGCCAAAAAAATTTCAGGTTTCTCAGCCTTTAGTAGCAATGAAAAGCACAAAATGTGTTCTTGATTAGAATATATTTAATACTATTATTTGATAAAATGGTAAGATATTTGGTTTCGCCTGCTGTGTTTTCCCGAAAGTAAGACCTACCCCAAAAATAAACCCCAGCTTGATTTTGGGGGGTGGGCCTAATATAAGCCCTACCCGCAAAATAAGCCCTAGTTTTGGGGCGAGGCACAGACCTAAAAATCAAGCTAGGGTGTGTGTGGGGTGTGTGGATCTGTCCTATGTGCCCCACACCCACTCACCTTGCAGCCAGGTCTCTCCTCGTTGGCCCACTTCTTCTGCAACATCTTCTGCAGCCAGGCTTACATTTCTCAGTCACAGGCCTATCTGGAAGGCCTCTGCGGCCGAGAACTGAGCTATGGATTGAATCCATGGATCGGTTCTGGAAGGCCTCTGCAGCCGAGAACCGAACTATGGATTGAATCCATAGCTCGGTTCTGGAAGGCCTCTGCAGCCGAGAACCGAACTATGGATTGAATCCATAGCTTGGTTCTGGAAGTCCTCGGCTGCAGAGGTCTTCCAGAACCGAGTTATGGATTGAATCCATAGCTCAGTACTCAGCTGCATAGGCCTTCCGGAAAGACCTGACTGCAAAATGCAGGCCCGAATGAAGCTGCTCCTTTGGCCGCAGAAGAAGTGGACCGGCTGGGCGGGGCTGTCGGTGCCTGAGGTAAGACATGCCCCTGAAAATAAAACCTGGTACCTCTTTTGGAGGCAAAAAAAGAAAAGAAAAAAAACCCGGTCTTATTTTCAGGAAAACACAGCTATTTTGACTGCCAGAAGTTAAGTATGGATGACGTTCTTACTTTGGCCCTGCAGACATCACTGGACAGCTTTCCTCTGTGCAGAAGTCTGTAATTGTCCCATAAAGCATGTTGATCTGGTTAAAGAAGTCCACAGCTATCCAAGAAAAAAGAACATTCCATTTAGCAAGCAACTACTAACGAGGGGAAAATCCACCACCACCACCACCCCGCGCAAACTAGACAATATCCTGTGTCTTTTTCAGCAGAACTGATCACCACAGAGTCCACAGGCAATGGTCGTCTGAAATACACCCCATGTTTTTAGAAAGCTGAAGAATCGGGATATAATTCCTCACAGGATTGCGAGTACAAGATTGAGATTTGCTTAAAATAAAGTGCTTGTAACAGATTTCTCCAAAATTCCAGTCCTGTCCATAAACTCCCTTCTCCTCACATTGGCCCAGTGGTAATTATCTGAGTTGTGTACTCTAAAAGTTTTTTTCAGGGGAAGAGGAGGAAAAAAAAACCCACCACAATACAAAGCAGACATTGCAGCTCTATCCCAAAGTGTATTTTTGCTGGCATGTAATTCAGGTTGTGGTTGCGTCTCTTCAAGAAGTTAGCAAACCAAGGATAAATTAATGAAGCCGGTTGGAATGAATGTTTTACTTGGACATTAAAGACCCAAAATTTCTGATTGAATTCACATTGGCATAGGCCGAGCAAATCCTTTCTAAAATTGCCAGAGATCCTTCATGCTTTCTACTCCTCTATCACTCAAGCAGAAAGCTATTGATATTAAACAGAGTGGCTTGCCCTCGTTTTGCTCTTGCAAATTTTCCATTTGTTTTTTGGAAGAACCGGTGCTTACAAAACCGTTGCAAAATGGAGCCTTGCATCAATTAATGCGTTAACTGAGTATCTCTCTCTATCTATATCTTCTTCTTGTGCCATATCCGTTATAGGACGTTGGCGATCATGTTGGCGATCCTGTTTTTATCAGCAGCCGCACGAAAAAGTGCTGCTGAGTTTTGTTCAAATCAGTCCCTTAGATTTTGAAGCTATGATGTTCTTCTTCTGCCTAGACCTCATTTGCTTCAATCTTTCCCTGGAGATTAAATGGAGTATGCCGTATTTTTCTGAGTGTCGCATCACATGTCTGAAATATTCTAATTTTCATTTTTTAATTGTTTTGATGATTTCCCTTGGCTTTTCCAGGCAGCTTATCACCTCCTCACTTCTGATCTTCTCTCTCTCTCTCTCTCTCTCTCTCTCTCTCTCTCTCTCTCTCTCTCTCATTCCCATTTTGAAAGTACAGAAGCTAAGGAAAAATAAGAACGACAGGGATAATATTCTATCCTGCGATAACGAAGTTTGTTCTTTTCATGTGATGGTCCCCTGCAAGTTGGCTGTTTTTGTAAGCGACAAGCAAGGGAAGCACCTGGCTTGTAATAAAGAAAAAAGGCTTATAAATTAAGAAGTGATTAACCCTTATTTTTTCCCCCAAAATAAAAGTGATGACCAATACGTGGTTGAATAGTCTTTGCATTTCCCTTTCGTCAATCCGATGATGATGGAATAGGAAAAGTGGTAAACCTGAACAGACCTGTTCCAGTTCATTGGAACAAAACTCAAAGTGACTTCAAAGGTTTTCGCTCGTGGAAAATACCCATTTGGCTTTGTAGACAGAGCCCTTAAAACAGTCAGCTTTGAGGACGGCCTACTCAGTGAAAGCGCGAAGCTCAAGTGAAAGCAAGAATGGTAAAACTGCCTACCGTCTTTTGTGAGACTAGTAAACCATGGTGGAAACAAGTAAATGGAGACCACATGTCCACAAAGAAACATGACTAATCCTTGCTTTAAAAGCATGAGTAGGAAGGGGGGGAAACGAGGGGAATTCACCAACTGGGAAATCAAATTATATTATATGGGCCTTTTTTTTTAGTTTTATTTAAATGAATGGACTCGTGTTGATTTCTTTTCTTTCTTTTTTTTGCTGTAGAATCGGTACATTATTAATATTACTTCTGTTTATTGTATTTCCTTTGGTATATTTCAGCTAAAAATAACTACGTCAGGAACCATGGTAACATTGGTCCAGACAGAACATCTGGCTGGCATTGCTGCCAAAACCAAGGAACAGATCGAATCCAGACCACCGTTTCTTAAGCCAGCTTCATTTCCAGCAGAATTGAGAAAGGAGAAGCTTAATCTTTGCTGTGCAAATGTGCCTTATCAAATTCTCCTGCCACAAATTTAAAGCAGAACAACATTTCTGTTGTTGAAGGCCACCTGAATAGCCTTCGTTTTAGTTTCCTGTTTACTTTTAACTGTTTTCTAAACCAACTTTCTGCTTTGGGCTATAGTGCTTTTATTCCATTACAGTTTGCTAGGTCAGGGATCCCCAACCCCCGGCCCGTGGACCAGTACCGGGATGCAGCATGCCAGCAACCGGGCCGCACAAACAAGCAAAGCCCCATCCATGGGAAGCAGGCAGCACACAAAACCACACACTTTCTGGTCTGTGGAAAAACCTTTCTCCACGGAACGGGTCCCTGGTGCCCAAAAGGTTGGGGACCTTTGTGCTAGGTCAGGGGTAGGCAACCTTGGCTCTTTTATGACTCGTAGACTTCAACTCCCAGAATTCCTGAGCCGGCATGGGTCAGCTTGGAAACTCTCTCTTTCCCCTCAGCATGGCTGGCTCAGGAATTCTGGGAGTTGAAGTCCATGAGTCATAAAAGAGCCAAGGTTGCCTACCCCTGGCCTAGGCCTAGGCCGCTTTATGACTCGTGGACTTCAACTCCCAGAATTCCTGAGCCAGCATGGCTCAGCTTGGAAACCTCTCCCTTTCCCCTCAGCATGGCTGGCTCAGGAATTCTGGAAGTTGAAGTCCATGAGTCAAAAAAGAGCCAAGTCCCTGTGCTAGATTTTCGTCAATGCTGGCTGTGGATTCTGGAGTTGAAGTGCCACATGCCTTAAAATTGTCAAGGTTGAGAAACACTTTTGTAAAATAAAAAAAAAGGGAGGGCTCATTTTACTGGGAGGAATGAGAATACTTTATTTGGCAGTTTTAGTTAGTTGGAGAAGAATCAAATTGTTGTGATTACAGGCGTTGTGATCCTCGATTACAACAGCTCAGTTTAGAGACCGTTCAAGTTATAATTGCTACTAAAGTGACTTATGATCATTTTTCACACTTACAGCCATATCCACGTCCTCAGGGTCACGTGATCAAAATTCTGAGACTTGGCAACTGACTCATATTTATGACAGTCGCAGCGTCCCGGGGCGTCATCTTTTGCACCTTGTGGCACGCAAAGACTTAATTAACATCTGTGTTCGCTAGAATTAGTGGCAGTGATTCACTTAACAATCGTGGCAAGGAATAGATCATAAATGGGGCAAATTCCGTTGAAATGTCTCCCTTAACAAAAGAAATTTGGGGCTGAATTGTGTTTCCTAATTTAGCAACTGCAGTGATCAATTAACGGGGGCAAGAAATGTTTATAAATGCGGCAACACTCTTAACAACGTTTCGACTTAGCAGCAGAAATGTTGCCTTTATATGTAGTCTTAAGTCAAGGCGTACTGTAAAATTTAAATCGAAGCTGAATGAATGGCTGTGCAAGCATTCTGAGTTACTAATAGTTGAGCTCAAACACAGCCACTGTAAATGTTCTGAAGTTCAAGCTCAGATCTTCCAAGAATTTCAATGTCGAACCAAAGTCGTTCAATCTCAGTATTTTATAATGTGTCTGCCATAGAAATAAGCTTGAAATGAGTAGACCATCCTTAAAAGTGACTTGGTTTTTTAAGTTGAACTGTGCAACAAAGCCAAATGGACATATTCCACGACTGAGCTTTAGTACTTCGATTTTTTGTCCCAATAAACACAACCAACCATCAATCACTGCGCTGGAAAGACTGAGCGAGCAGTTTTGTTCTGACTTTTTACAACTAAAATAAATTTGCTGTTTCATGCACAACCTGTTATTCAGAAATGACAGAGAAGACTATAACAGCGCGGAACTGAACGTTGTTTAGTGTGCAACATATAGGTTTTTTCTGTGGACCAAAAAACTCCTTTCTATGGCAACATCCCATGAACTGTGGAAAATGTCCTTATTGTCACCTCCATTATTACTGCGGCCATTACATTAGAGAAAACAATCAACGATTTATCAATATTCTCAACTGATTCGTTTTATATCATGGGTAGGCAATCTTGGCTCTTTTATGACTCGTGGACTTCAACTCCCGAGATTCCTGAGCCAGCCATTCTGAGGAGAATGGGAGAGTTTCCGAAGCTCCGCCTATGCTGGCTCAGGAATTCTGGGAACTGAAGTCCACGATCATAAAAAAGCCAAGGTTGGCCTACCCTGGTTTATATTATTACCTATCCTGTCAATAGCCATTTGATATGGGATCTGCGCTCCAAACTGCAAATGGTGGGATTAGCAGATTACAGCGAAGAATGTTTTAAAATGGAAGTGGTTATTCCCATTTGTATGTCTTGTCCTTTAGTCCAAAATTTTTAAGTTCTTTGACATGCCCTGGTTGACACATTCCAGGAGAAATGGATCCATTAAAGACAAAAAAAAAAAAAAAAAAACATGCTTTCCTCATGCATCAGTGCTGAAAACATATACAGACTAAGGCAGACTCCTTACTGTTCACAGCCACCCTTCATTTAAATCTTCGCCTTCCGGCAGCATAACAGCCATCCGTAAGTTTGCCACTGCCCCAAGAGTTGCCTCTGCATGTTTCACAGCTCATATTGGTGGGATCCTTCCGAATGTTCTTCTTTGGTTTAAAAGTTTTAGAAGAGCGGCTACCACTTGCAAAGGGAGAAGGATAGTTTTGGCTTCAGAGAATGCTGAGCACTATAAGCAGATTATAATTTGACATTCGTTCTAGCCATGCCCTTTTATGACTTGTGGACTTCAAAATAAAAAAACGTCCCAAATTCCTCAGCCACGTGCCTGGCGGAAGAATTCTGGGAGTTGAAGTCCCAAGTCAGGAAAGAGCCAAGTGTGAATACCCCTGTTCTAGTCTCACACTTTCTTGGTTAAAAAACATTTCCCAACCCCCAAGCATTGATAGAGTTTACATGTGGATAAATAGGATTAATTCCCCCCCCCAGAGGTTCAGCAT